CAGCTGCGCAGCCTCACTGCACCCTCAGTGGCACCGCGCGCTAGGATTTCCGTCGTGAATATCCAGTTGACATGCGATTCTGGAGGGTCTCTTTACGTCATGTCTTTATATGTGCTGCTGTCGTAGAAATTTCAATGAGTGACCAGGACTAGCGACGTCTCACTTTCCTCCTCTCCCCTCTGGCAGTCCGGAGATGGTGCTCCAACTGCGGGGAGACATCCTCATCAAGTGCTACCACTGCGAGTCGGCCACCACGCGCCAGGTCGTGTTCCGCGTGCAGTTCCACACGTGCGCCGTCTCTGACCCGGTGCTCAGCTTCCCAGCGGCAAGACCTGGACGACGCCTGCGACGGTACGTGGCGCCGCTCAGCGGCTGTTGGCGGAACTACAGAGTGGTAGTTTGGTCGGCCTCGTGATCGGGGCGCCATCAGAGCGGGTCATCATCATTATCGCCCAGCTGAGTGAAGTCGGAAGTGGAGGCTCTTGGGCCGTTCGAGTTTTTCTATTTCGGCTACGAATCTGGGACAAGCAGCCTTGATTGCGCGCCGACGCAGCTTGTGAAGAGAGGTTTAATATTGAGACTGAGTGCACCGTGAAAGAGCTCGCAAGCTTTAAGTCAAGTCAATTTATCAAGGAATCATGCCATCACTTGGCTGCCTCAGTAGCGTTTGATCCCAGTCCCATTGCATGGCACAAAGGTAAGATAAGCGCTACAAGAAAAGACACAAACACTGACGAAACCGGTAGCGACGGCTCATGAAAGTGAAAACACACCGTTGATAGTCTTACTCAGCACGATCAGGCTTGCTGATACATTGATGCCTTCTTCGAGAGGCAGTGATGGATAGGCAGCAGGCAGGTACAGGGTAAGGCTGCGCAGAAAGGGACGTTTGCTGGTCTCACTCAACACGATCAGGTTTGCTAATACATTTATTCATCGTTCGAGATGCCGTGATGGGCTGCAGCAGGCAGGTTCAGAAAGAGGCTGCACAAACAGGAAATATGTGCAACAAACGCTTTGGGAAATTTCAGGGGTTTCCAGTACCTTCTTTTTGTCGTTTGCTATTTTTCTGTCATTCTGGTAATCTCCCGCTGTTCGGCCGCAGGTGCGCCGTGTGTTTTAATGTCAATGAACAAAATTTATGTTGGTCATCACAGCTCCAACCTTTCTAATCCAACGTTAACGTGGCCCTTGGTAGCCCCTGCCTCGTATCACTGTCACCACGAGCCCCGTCGCCCGGGTATTTCCCCTACCATTTTGAGCCGGCCGGGCTGCCGCCGGGTATCCCCGTCAGCGGGCCGGCCCTGGGGACCGGCCCGCTGGTCCCGCCTGTCGCACCGACAGCGTCCGCCCCCCGGTGCCGTCCGCGGCCGTGTGTCGGCTGGAGGCAGACCGCGCCGACAGCGTCCGTCCCTCCTGTGCCGTCTGCGGCCGTGTGTCGGCTGGAGGCAGACCGCGCCGACAGTGTCCGTCCCTCCTGTGCCGTCCGCGGCCGTGTGTCGGCTGGCGGCAGACGGCGCCCGCGGTGCCGGAGGCCGGGCAGTGGGAGACCGGTCACGAGCGGTGCCCGGCTGGCGGAGGCGTCCGCCGTTGCGTCGCATGGCCGGCTGCTGGAATGCCGCTTTGTTGCGGTTCGAGAGCCTTACCTCTTCTGGTGGCACGCTGTCCCACAGGCTGTGTATCCGACCCGTGAATGACTGCTTGCGATGTCCTGCTCCGCCGGCCTTCTGTACTGCGAAGCCCCGTTATGTTCATCCGTGCTCCGTTGCTGCGAATCTCTGATCTGTTTGGTTGTGCTCCGTTACTGTGTGACCCCGTTCTGTTCAGCTGTGCCCCGTTCCTATGATGTCCTTTGTGGTGACGGCGGCTGCCGCTGACTCACGGTCCATCCTGCCCCGGACGCCGGACGCCGGACGGCTGCGGGTGCAGCCCGTGCGTCCGGTAGAACAGCGCCGCTCCCACCCGACGAGCGCGTCCGCGCCAGCCGGGCGCCCCGACATTGGCCGTGGGCGCGGCCCGTGACGGTCGGCAGGTCGTGCACGGCCGGCTCGTGAGTTCCGTCAGCCGGCCATGGACGGCTTCCGCCGCTGAGTGGCGGCGGATGCCCAGCCGGGGATCGTCGGCCGGCGGCCTGCAACGCTTCCGGCCGCGGTGCGGCGGGCCGTGCTCGCCGTGCTCGCCGTGGGTGTCGTGTCACGCCCTGCTGCCGCCCCGCGTCCGCGTCCGTCGGCCTGACGAGCGCCGCGCTGACCCTCGTGACCCCCGCCGCCGCAGACATGCGCTTCCCGATGGACGGCGGCGTCGAGCTGCACTTCTCGGCGTCCGAGCCTGGGCCAGGACCAGGCGGCGGCGCCGCTCCGCGTCGACCGCGCGCCCGACCCCGTCCAACGCTGGAACAGCTACGAGGCCTTCTACGCCGGCGGCGCCGACAGACAGGTGCGGTGGTGGCGGCGTCCACGCCGACGCGCCGGCTATCACCGGGGAGAGAGTGGGGGTGGGGGTGGGGCGACACTCGAGACATGCAGGCCGCGCCCGGGAGGGCGTGCAGCGGAGTCGGCCGTCTACTCGGGAGAAGTGGGTGTGCGCAGCGACATTTGAAGCATACATTTGCATATGTTAATCCATTTCGTCTGCTGCGGAAGCTTTTGTGTGTATGTGATATGTGGCTTCATTAAAACCGACATTAGCATGCAATAAGAATATATATATATATATATATATATATATATATATGCATATATATATATATATATATATATATATATATATATATATATATATATTGCGGGCTAGGATTTGTGACGCGTAGACCTGGGCACATACGGTCGCGGACCCCACTCTGACGCGGCGTGTGCCGACCGAGGCGCCCAGAGACGAGGTCCGAGTCAGACAGACGCTTGGCTCCCGGCGCGCATCCGAAGGTCGGCTCCAGCGGCGGGTCAGGCCGGCCTGTGACACGCCACAGCGTCGGCGGACGCGGGTCCTCCATCCAGGTCAATGCCGCTCGCGCGGGATTTCTCAGATGACTGGAGTGTAGCAGCTGGATGGCGATAATGTGGCGTATTTCGAGGTAGAAGTGGTGACGCATTCTGGCAGATGCACCGGGTGTGGTGGCTCTTTCTGTCCCAGTTATAAAAACCATTCGGCAAGTCTTTGTTTGAGGTCCCGCCTGGCCGTTGTGGAAGCCGTCCGGAGCACAGTGTCCCAGTCGGGTCTCTCATGGCTGGCTACACTCCCTCGCAGCGATGGCCGCGGAGGGCGCGATGCAGGGCTTTCCTGAACGGCCGACCGCTCTGGGGCTCGGCATGGCCAGGCTCGACTGACATTTGCGAGCGCCGCGTCTCATCAGTGTCACGACTTATGGGACATATGCGCACATTTTGTCTCATAACTGTCAGGATCGAAGGGCGGCCACATATATGACGGGGGTCCCCTTTTATGGCGTGAAGATAGTCCGAAACTCTATGATGATATGTCATTGCTGCACGACGTACGCACATTCAATTCAGGTTTGTCCTGATCGTCGGAGCGATACTTTCGCCGTACATCAATGCGTACCGTAGTTCGCATGTCCGATTGAAGGTTTAGCATCTGCTTTTTAAGCGCGCTCGCATGGAGGGACAAGCGCCACCTCGCCGTAACCGCCGCTGCTGTCATTTGTGATTGGCTGTCATCACCATCGCAACTGGCGGCCGTCGGACAGTCTCCCCGGAGCAGCGCTGCCTTATGCAGCGGAGCCGGCGCAGTCTGCGGTGACGGCGGCCGCTGCCATGCAACTGACAGCCCCACAGCCCTGGTCAGGGACGGTAGCTGGAGTCCACCCAGCACCCTAGCAGACCCCCGGGCACGACTGGACGGGGCGGGGCGGGGCGGGGCGCGCCGGGGCGCCTCGGGGCGCAGCCGTCTGCCGCGACGGCTCACCGACGCCGGCCACGGTAGTCAGGTCGAGCCCGCTGTAGCTGAACAGATGTGCCGCATGCAGTCGTTTGTCCGAGGGGCGAGCGATTTGTGTGAAAGGTTTTGGCGCTGTAGCGTCCCACGATTGGCGATTGCGGAGCGAAGCGGCTGTGGAGCGAGTTGACGCAATTTGTTAGATTATTGTTTGTGTACTTTTTATTTGTTAGATTATTGTTTGCGTACTTTCTTGACGTCACGGACGTGCGGCGCAGTCGCAGTTCTTGCTATTGATTTGTGCACGTTATGCGCGCGAAAACCCACGCTACGTATGCGTATCTCAAGAGCTGCGCGGGGGCCTACCGCGGTCTTTGAAAATAGGCTTCAGTGTCCGATGAGGTCACGCCGGCGTCGTCCTCTGGTGCCGGTCGGCCTGTGTATCACAACGGGCCCCACGTCTGGCAGCCTGGCGTGCAATCAACGGCGTCGCGCTTCTTTTGCGCGTGAGCTAGTCGCTTAACCAACCATTAACCTGTAGTGGCGCCGTCAGCGGTGCTTAGAGCTTATATCGCATGCTAATTGTATTGTACTTACGGTGCATCAATGCCTGCAATTAAAGTAGAGAACTGCTGGCTCCTGCTCCACTTTAAAAATCCGATAAATGGCCGCGGAAAGACGCACGTATTCCAGCATTGCGCTTTGCCATGAGCAAGAATCTAGCCTGAATGCCGCTGATTGAGCGCAGGCGGTGAAAGAACCCGTCGACCGAGCTGCTGGCTTTGTTTAGTATCTTAAGGTCATTAGCCAACTGCCTGGCGTGCGTGCCTGTCTTTCTCGGGCGCTTATCACCAGTGCTTTCTCACCATTCAATGAGCCCCCACCTATCACGATTTCGTCAACGGCGTTCGCGTCGTCACGAACTCTCGTTATCCATTCACGCCCGGTGCCCGGGGACTGTCACGTCCCGCCACTCAGTGCTCTATAATGCCATGCAAGATGACCACTTACTGGTCGACCTCGCCTGAAGGTCGCACGGGAAGGCTTGCCCATTTGCTGCGCTGGTTCGGAGTGCTTTTGTTCCAGCAGGCACCGTTTACCGACCAGTTGCATGTTGCATCGCCCGAGCGTCGTTTGGCCAGTGGATCACAATCAACGCAGTGTATCGAGCCGCCGCGTTCCTTCGCACGCAAGCCAACCATCTAGCCAGCCATTAACTCCTGGTAACACCGTTAGCGATGCTAATGGAGGGTGCCAGAGTTGAGAGTCGGCTGCCTCCCGGCACCTCGTTAGGGAGGTAACCCGTGGTCCCGTTACCCTCCTGCTGAAGCCCAGGTCGCCCAGAGGGGCGTGCGCGCCCGGACCGCCATGGGCACTCGGGTGCCCGCGGAAGCTCGGTTGGGCGGGAGCCATGCAGCGGAGGCGTGGCTCCGCCCTGGCGGCGCCGGGGCGGGGTCCGGGTGCATGCCGGCTCGCTCGCCGGCCGGCGGGAGCCGCCCCTGTCGTCAGCAGCGGCGCGATAAACAGGCCCGACGGGCGGCACGTCCAGCCGGCCTCGCTGGCGTGGGACGTGAGGCCCGGGCTGATCCACCAATGGACAGGTGTAGCCGAGGCTGGTCCACCCAGGGACAGGTGTAGCCGAGGGTGGTCCACCCAGGGACAAGCATAGCTGAGGATGGTCCACCCAGTGACGGGTGTAGCCGAGGCTGTGCACACAGGGACAGGTGTACCCGAGGCTAGTCCACCCAGTGACAGGTGTAGCCGGGGCCGGTCCACGCAGGAACAGGGGTAACAGAGGCCGGTCCACCCAGTGACAGGTGTAGCCGAGGCTGGTCCACCCAGGGACAATCATAGCTGAGGATGGTCCACCCAGTGACGGGTGTAGCCGAGGCTGGTGCACACAGGGACAGGTGTAGCCGAGGCCGGTCCACCCAGTGGCAGGTGTAGCCGAGGCCGGTCCACCCAGTGGCAGGTGTAGCCGAGGCCGGTCCACCCAGTGGCAGGTGTAGCCGAGGCCGGTCCACCCAGTGACAGGTGTAGCCGGGGCCGGTCCACCCAGTGACAGGTGTAGCCGGGGCCGGTCCATCCAGTGACAGGTGTAGCCGAGGCCGGTCCACCCAGGGACAGGTGTAGCCGAGGCCGGTCCACCCAGTGACAGGTGTAGTCGAGGCTGGTCCACCTAGTTACAGCTACCGGTCGTGTGACCAATGCTGCCCCCCCCCCCCCCCCACCCCCGCTCCTTCAGTGACAGGACTGGCCCATCCAGCTCTGTTTGCCTGACTTGTGTATGTTGAGATGAATAATCCCAACGAACCCTGTAGGCTGTGCCAAACTCGGCCAAAGGTATGTGAGCCCGGAGTACTGCGCAGCATACAGTGAATCCTGCTTTTCTTGGTGGGGACGTGAGCTTACCAGTTGCGGCGTCAAGGGGGAGGGTATCGCGGGCGCCTCCAATGATTTTGAACTCGGCCATGCGCCCACGACGTTCGGTGAAAAGACTGGCCAAAAGTATCGCGTCCTGAATCATCGGCATGTCGTGGTTCACACGTCTTGTCGACCTGTAGAAAAGACGTCAGAGATCGATAGTTAGCGGCATACCGGGATAAGCTCAGTCAGCTTATGCGACTAAACTGTGAAGATCACAGTGGTCGGCGCTCCTGTGTAACGTTTACACCACCCGAGATATTCCCGACACTAACAGCCAGGCCATTAGGCTTTAAACAGAGTTGACCTGGCGGTGCGATCTATCTGGCGGTGCGGTGATCTAAACGCGGTGCGATCTCTCTGGCGGCGCGGTGCGAGTCGGTCGGTCGGTCGGATCTCGTCCAACAGAGACTCCAGAGACTCAGGTCCAACAGAGACTCGCTCCTGACTCCAGGGAGCAAGCGACACCGGTGGGCGTCCCGGAGTCTCGCGCCTGACTCCACACAGTAAATCGCGCGAGCCGGCGGTCTCGAAGGCTCGCTTCTGGCTCCAGGCAGCGGGCGGCATCGACCGCCGGTCCCGGAGTCTCGCTCCTGACCCCACAGAGTAGACCGCGCCGGCTGGCGGTCGCGAAGGCTCGTTTCTGATTCCAGGAAGCAAGCGGCGCCGACCTGCGGTCCCGGAGGCTCTGACTCCACAGAGTAGACCGCGCGAGCTGGCGGTCTCGAAAGCTCGCTACCGACTCCAGGCAGCGGGTGGCATCGCCCGGCGGGTCTCGGAGGCCCCCTGCCGACTCCACAAAATAGGCCGCGCCGACCGGCGGTCCCGGAGGCTTGCTGCTGACCCCAGGCAGCGAGCGGCGCCAACCTCCGGTGCCGGCAGCAGGCGGCGGCCAGCCCTCCTTTTACGGCGCCCGCCCGGCGCAATTAATGCAGATTTATGTCATCATCATGGCGGGCGCGCCGGTGCGGTTGTCTGCAGGCCGTCCGGTGGCGCCGCTGTCGTGGGCGTCGGCCGGTGAGCGCTGCGACAGGCCCAGCGGTCGGTGGCTGCCCCCCCCCCCCCCCCCCCGCCCGGTCGCCGACTTGCCGATGTGGCTCGGTGGGTTGCGGAGTGCCGAC